TTGCACACAAACACACACTCGCACACACAGATAATGCAAGCAGGAACAAAGCTAAAAAAAAAAGGCACCACTTAGAATTGTTTAGAATTAAGAGACTTTTGTGTCATTGTGATTTTTAGATATATTTGAATGAACGAGCCACTGGTCGCGGTATGCAAACTGGCGTTGGCCTTCTTTGACGTTTGACAACTCTGACCGGCTGATTGCTAGCGAATCGGGTCATGAGATAGAAATAGACGATGAGATGGTACACACAAGCAAATCCGTTGCAAATAAAAATGCATGAACTCGTAAATTAAGATCAGCAAAATCGTGATTTTAACTGATGTGTTCCTGCTTAATTGTGTGTTAAAATTGCTCTGGATATGCGTGACTACCTTGACAGTGGGTGGTATGATATGGAAACATACACGGTCACTTTAAATCGTGATGCCGCAACTAAAAAAATAAATGTCACTTCCGATTCCCTCACACGAACACGCTCATATTTCAATATGATCTTAGTAGGATGCCGCGGCTCACCAGTGTGACTCAACGCAGCACCTAATTAATTGAAGATTAATGAATGAAAAACTAAATCGGGTCGTGCCCTCCTGGTCTAGATTGTGTTGTGCTGCCACCCATCGTCCAGATGGAGCGTTGCAGCTCACGTTCCAAACACAATCAATGGTCAACTGTCAGTGGGCAAATTAAGTCAGATGTGACTTTAGCACACAAATGTAACGAAGAAGCTCCCAAGAGTACATTTGATTGGCTACTTTTACGGTCACTTCTTGCACGCGGCCAATCAGGCACCCCATTAATTAGTTGATTGCGTTCAACAGCTGCAGTTGTACTTTAAAATATGCCCAGTGCAGACGAGCGCCTTATTGTCACTCATTGAGGCTTTGGAGAACGCCAAACGAGCTCAACCTGCTTCATTGTAGCCCACCATGCCCACCAAGAATAACCCCGAGGCCCGCATCAGTCGTTTCAAGAACAAGGGGAAGGACCTGACCGTAAGTTTGAGCTCATCACGTGGGTGAGAGTCCAACGAATTCTAGAAAGACGCTCTCATAATTGTCTTTGTGTTCAGAAACTTCGAGAAAAGAGGTTATCGGAGTGCGTGGAGTTGCGCAAAACTCAAAAGAATGAGCGCTTGATGAAGAGAAGACACATAACGTTGTCTTCTCTTCCCGACGATGATGCGCTTTCTCCGACAGCTATCTCCAATGACGAGGTCAGCTCGGGGACGCTTGACGTATTGGGAAGCCTGCGCTGGCCTTATGCAACTGCTTAACGTGGCTATCGTTGTAGGTTCGCACTTTAAGCATCGAGGAAATTCTTAAAGATATAAACGCTAACTGCAAGAATGCTCAAATTCGTGGATGCCAGGCTGCTAGGTGAGTACAGTAATACTGTGTGTGCGTGTTTTAGTCAAGGCATTTATTTATATAGCGCATTGCCTACACACGGCAACTCAATGTACTTCACACAAGCAAAGACGCAACACCTACCAATGAAGTGAAATGGGACCATTTCCCGCAGCAAAACGGATTACCTCTCACAGGACACTGTGCCACTTTGCAGTGGTTGCGAGTAACTGCCACGAGCACTATAAAGTGATTTTTAGACTTCTGTTTGAAACTGTTTCAAAAGTGATAACGTGTGGTACCCTTTTTAGAAAACTACTTTCCCAAGAGTGTCACCCTCCATCGCAAGAGATCATAGACGCTGGTCTCCTTACCCGCTTTGTGCTCTTCCTGAGTATGGAGGATGAGCCCAATCTGCAGTTTGAGGCCGCTTGGGCGCTGACCAACATCGCCTCTGGAACATCTTGGCATACAAAGCAGGTGAGAGCATTGCAGGAACACCAGTATGACACAGTTGGCATAAACATAACACTTAGCTCAATTTATTTTTAAACTTCATTGAAAGAATTGGGGCCGGAACATTCAATTTCTGTACACAGGTGGTAGATCATGGCGCTGTACCCTGCTTCATTTCTCTGTTGGCGTCGCCACATTTGCACATCAGTGAACAAGCTGTATGGGCCCTTGGGAACATTGCAGGTGATGCGCTTAATTTACTTCAGCAAGATGATACATTTAGCGTTTATAATGAGGAAGTCAAGCGACTTGTGGCTTATCATTTTGAGCTTAGTATTCTAAAATGTGTTGGTAAAAATGAGGCTTTTTGTGTGCTCTCCCACCAAGATGAGTTTTCCATGCTGCTGTTTTTTTCCTTTCTTATTGTAACTTGCAGGTGATGGTCCAAATTATAGAGATTTCCTCATCGAATGTAAGGTGATCCCTGCCTTACTGGCACGGGTCACTCCAGAAACCCCGGTAAGCATTTTTTTTTTTTTTAAAGATACTACATAGTTCTTGACCATTTCTGGTAATCAAAGTTGTTGCTTAAATAAAGTGGGGAAAGATCTTGACCAAAAAGATTCCTAGCCTGTTACTTGCAGGCTTTTTTTTTTTTTTTTTTTTTTAAATATGCTCATCCCTTTCAGGTTGGTTATCTACGCAACCTTACGTGGACATTGTCAAACTTGTGCAGGAATAAAAACCCATTTCCACCCTTGTCTGCAGTCCAACAGGCAAGTCCGTTTTGTATTAAGGTTTCTGAAATGTAATGCAAAATGGTCCCGATTATGTCAAGATCATTACTGATCTCACAGCATTAAGTATGCTGACTTTACATTGCAGGCAAAGGCTCTACTTTTGAATGTTTTTTTGTTTGTTTGTTTTTAGCCACATACACAGTGATGCATTCAATATTTACTTTCATGAACACATGAAATGAATGTGCATCCTCCCAAAACGCAAGTCAATGCTCAGCAATAACAGAAGTAAACAAATGAATGATCGTTGGCCTGGAGTGACTGTCTTAAAACGTTGTGTAGTTAGATGTACAGCATTTGAGGATGAAACTGTTGAACTCATGCAGGTCCTTCCTACACTGATCCAGTTTCTCCACCTTGGAGATAAGGACATCTTGTCAGATGCATGCTGGGCAATCTCCTACCTGACAGACGGTAACAATGATCGTATTGCTATTGTGGTCAGAACAGGTATAGTCCACCGGCTGGTGGAGCTCATGAGCCACAAGGAGCTGAGTGTCATGGTAACTAAATTCTTCACAGCTTGGTTGATTTGTCAAATTGTTAGCTAAGCTTTGTTTTTGTTTGTTTGGTTTTTTTTTTCTGTTTGTACCTGTATACTTGAGACGCCTGCCCTTCGTGCCATCGGGAACATCGTGAGTGGCTCAGATCTGCAGACGCAGGCTGCTATTGATGCTGGTGTTCTTGGCATACTTCCTCGCCTCATGAGCCACCCGAAGGCCAATGTCCAGAAGGAAGCGGCATGGGCCTTATCAAACATTGCAGCTGGGCCATGCGCGCAAATCCAACAGCTCCTCACATGTGGCCTACTCCCACCTTTGGTAGAACTACTTAGAAATGTAAGCGGTAAAATGTTAGAATTTCAAACAATTAACTTTCACAAATTGGTAGATTAGTCCCCTTTTGTTTCCTAAAGGGAGATTTCAAGACTCAAAGGGAGGCAGTGTGGGCAGTGACAAACTTCACCAGCGGGGGCACTGTGGAGCAGGTGGTTCAATTGGTGCATAGTGGGGCACTTGAGGCAATAATCAACCTTCTGCAAGTAAAAGATGCCAAAATCGTTCTGGTCATACTCGATGCCATCAACAACATTTTTATGGTGAGTGGGGACAGTGCAGCTGAAGCATGACCTGATATCACCACTTGGAGTCTGACTTGTTAATTACTGTGAAGGCCGCAGAGAAGCTCGGTGAGACGGAGAAACTCAGCCTGCTAATTGAAGAGCTGGGAGGACTTGATCGCATTGAAAGTCTCCAGAACCATGAAAACGAGATGGTGTACCAGGCATCACACAACATCATCGAAAAGTACTTTGTCGACGTAAGTCCATGTACTGTGTATAATTTAAACTTGACTTTGAGAGCATTCAACGTTTAAAAAATAATTCGAGGAATAATCTTTGAGACGCAGTTGATGGTGAATTTCCTTGTCTACACATTGCCGTAAACTTTACATTGGTTTTAGACGCATTTAGGGAGAACATTGGTTTTTAGCGAAAGGACAATGGTGGGGGGATTCATAGACTGATTACATAACTTTAAGATTTGGAGGCAATAGTATGTTTAACAGTCTGAATGGCTGAAAGGGTCATTAAAAACAACACAAAATTCTGTTGAAAGTGCTGGTGGAGAGGTTAATGGTTGGAAAGAGGCTGCCTCAGCTTCCATCAAGCAATTTACAGCTTGACTCATTTTACATTGCTTTTCTCTAACAGGGTGAGATGGAGGGGATTAAGGTCGATGCCCCAAGGACAGAAGATTCTTTTGTATTCCAGAGCCCTGACACTGTCAAAAGATTTGAATTTTAGACTACTGGAATGTTCTACTAGATGAGAAAAATAAATATTTTCATACCAAACTGACTTGTCATTTGATTTTTGGGGAGCGGGAGGGGGGGGCTGATTGAGTTTAACAAAATGCCATCACCGATCAAAAGATGGTGCAGATATCTGAGTAAGTTATTTACTGCAGATACTGTTAAAGTATCAACAGAAGCATTTTTGCCTGTGTGTGAATCTGTTTTTCAGCAAATGGATAGGTGAAAACATTTTCAAATCTGCAACGCTGTACTGCAAATTCATGGGAATTCACTGCATCAGAAGTAGTGTACCTCAATCATATTCACATCAACTCCTTCACCACCCAAGACAAACCCACTTGAGTTGTGGCCGTATTAAGATGTTCTGTAGATTAAAACCTGCTCCAAGTTCATTTCCTGTTTTCAATAAGGATGTATACATTGCAAATGTGTCAAACATGAAAGTTCAAAATGCTCCACTTGACTTTATGCAGCTTGAGCTTTGTTTACTTTTTATAAACTAATAAAAGAAATCAAACTGTCACATGGAAGTGGATGGAAGCTTCCACAAGACGATAGTAGACATCTACATGTATCGAGTCAAGTGTTTTATTAGAAAATTTTAAACTAAAAGTGATTCAGAAGAATGTGACAATATGCTTCCGAGCAGAGGCATTGCACCGTAGTGTCAGTTTACATCTTTTCATAGGTGAGTTCATGCCCGCAGGTCCTGCACGTTTTCTTGTAGAGATCCTCTTCCGGATCAACCACCACCTCTGGTCCATATTCATGTTGGTGAGCGCTAGTATCTTTGGTCCACATGCTACTCCTCACTGCCCGACGCAGCTCTGACAAAACACAACAAACGCATTAATAAGGACTTGAGCCTCCACGCTAACGTGCTCCATGCTCAGGCATTTAACTAACCTTTGACTTTCTTGTTGAAGCGTTTTTGCTTCTGCACTTCTCTGTTCTCTTCCCTCGTCTCCTTGGCTTCCTCCAGCGCCGCCTCGGAACCCCACACCTCCATACTTCGCTTCTCTACATGTATTTTAAGGTAGAGCTTCATGTCCCCCCAGCGTGGGTTGTGAGGGTTTTTCTTCAAGATGAACTTAAGAGGAGGCTCTCGCTTGTCCAGATCACAGTCTTTCAGCAGGTAGATCTGCTTGGCCTCAGTTCTGGAGATCAACTTGTGTTTCTCAGTGCTGTCTCTGAAGGAGAAATACTTGAATGTTGAAAGAAGAAATGGTGTGGCAGTGATAAAATGGCAGAGTAAAAGTTTTGTGTATACAGGTACCTGCACTTGTCACACACAGACAGGTCGAAGCTGTTGCTGAGGTAGGAATCCATAAAAGGCTTTTGACAGTCATCACAAAACAGGTAGTCTGGCTCAATGACCGGAGCTGCGAACCGATTCAGGACATTCCAAAATGACATGAACGAACAATCCCACAAACACACAAAGGCGCCTCGCGCACCAACCTGGCTGATGTACCACCCTATTGGCCGTCTGCTTCTCCTGCAAGCCCTCCTCTTCTTCGATGAAAAACCCCGCACCGGTGTCGATGGTTTTACATACTTTGGCCAAAGTCGCACTCTGCTCTGCAGCAAAAGGGCGGCTCGCTATCCGGGCTTGTCGGAGCATCAGCGCCCGTTGTCGATTCCTCTCAATTTTTGCCCGCATTGCAGCAGAAAGTTCGGGTTTGGGACATTGTTCGTCGACGGGAGGATCCGTAACACGCACACTCGGTGCCCCGGAAGGGTCCATATCGCTCATTGTAACAAAAAATGACTCAACTGGACATGAACGACGACTCGAAGCGCAAACGCGCCTGCTTCAAATGCCCACTGTCCACAGAGTCGAATGGTTACACAAAATTACAGATACGTAATATACTGTCGAAGACCAACTGAACACCATGCTAACGTAACGGCCATGTTGGCAAGGGCGAGTTTCCTCTCAAAGCAACGCGTGGACAAACATACAAAAAAATAGTCGATTTTCGCGATGGTTACTTGACAACGTCAAAGCGTGTGCAGCGAATACAGACTATTTGGAAAAAAAGGTGACAAAACAATTTTATACCTCTGCAAGGTTTTACCAGTTACCTTGTTGTGATTGTACGGCGTTGTACGCAACCATATGGAGCACAATATCCCATCATGCTTATTCTTTCGGGTTTGTTTGCCGTCCATACACAAAAATTGCACTGGGCCGTTTTCCCCTACAAGTTTAGCGTTGCCAAAGGCACGCACCAAGAACGAGGCGTTCCAAAATCTACCCAAATTCAGATCTATGGGAAATGCAAAAATGACAGCCTAACCGGGGAAACGTCTTCTTCTTGACACTTTCACGTTTGGGTTGTAGTTACTACCGCCATCGCGTGGTGTGAATTTGTACTGTATATTGACATGTACAGTACTGTATAGTGTTTTAAATGCTGTACAGTATATTTTCAAGTCTGTGTGTGTGTGTGTGCGTGAGAGAGAGAGGGGGGGGAGAGTCTGTGTGTTTTTAATTGTATATTTACTGATTATTCAGCGCAGTGTATTCTGACAGACATTTTATAATTTTGAGGAGATAATAATGTGAGTAATAATAATTAGATGGGTGTTTGGTCATTAAATGAACACAAACCATCCATTGAACCATTTCCTCATGAGGGTAAATGAGATGGAGCTTATCCCACATACAGTATATGACTGTGAGAGGTAGGTACACTCTGAACTGCAGCAGTGAGAAGTAATGACGTTTTTTTCTGATGACTTATTGCATTTCTCTCTACATTGCACGTGTACTTTCTTCTGCTTACTTAGTAAAAAAAAAAAGGTTTATTATAGATAGAGAGAGGTAAAGTTTGGTTGGGATCTTGATTGACTGAGATATTGGGGTCCACTAAGGTGGGAAAAAATAGGGAGCACAATGACATGGCAACAGATTCTGAGAAGCAAGATATTCCCCATTCACAGCCCGATTAAAGAGTGAAAAAAATACATGGAAGTAAGGTGTAATTTGTTTTTCAAACAATGGGAACATGTTTTGTTTATTTATTTATTTATCGAACCGATTGAGATGAGTTTGTCTTTACACATATTGTCCTCAATGTCCAATCAATCAGTCATAGCCACTATGGAGATTTGTGGCACTGTAGATGTGACACAAGTTTCTAAAATAATACAAATAATGATGATTTTATTCAATGTTAAAAGGAAGGATATAAATTCCAATATTAATTAATGCATTCAAAGACAAGATCACCTCAGTTTTATAGCATGAGCACAAATTCAAATAGTGTTGTTTCTTTGTTCAATATTAATTTGTTTAATAATAACGTTTTATACACTGAGTTGAGCAATACGGCATTTCCTTTTTTTTTTTTACATTGTTATACACAGTTCAAGTAACAAATGATTTCATGATTGCACAACAATAAGATGGAAATTTAAAAAAAAAACATTTGTCATTGTACCCATTGATGGACTGTGGTCGATATTTTTGCAATGGACACATACATACGTACCCGTGTGCACCTCGCACATAATCATCAAAGCAACAATTTCAAAATGTTACTGCATGAGCGCCCTAAAGCTGACTTCTGAAAATAGACGTTGAAGTGACTATGATTACATACAGGAGTTTATATACAGTCTTTATATATATATGTATATATTGTTTACAATTGTACATACAAATGCAAAATAAAACATATTCTGACAATAATGTTAGGTGAGTTCAATTCATATAATTGCGGAAGGAAAAAATAGAGAATTTTATTGTTTTTGTTGATGTAATTTTTGTTTGTCTAAAGAAGAAATACTTCTCTCGTGGTAACCAGAGACATAGGTGGAATACATTAGCAAATCTATACCGGTCGATGAATATGAAAGATATGTTTAGGAGTTTTCAAAATAAACACGGAAAAAAAAAAAAGAATCCAGCACCTCACCACCTTACACTTTGACTTTACAGTACATGTATTATGTGCTGTTAAAATTGCACTAAAAACGTTGTCATTTTTGAAAGCACTAAACAGTTTGGGTGACGAGACAAAAATGCAGCGGATGGTGTTATTCAGAACTAGTGACTGTGCCTTTTTCGGGTATTTCATTATGACATCCTGACCTTTGAATGTCACCATATCGGTGCTAGTTTTAAAACATCTGTTCAGTCAGCTCAAAAAAAAGCGAGGAAGTGATTTGTTTGAAGAAATTGGTATGGGGACCTTATTTAATTTTTTTGTTGGTCCTCCTCTGTAATGAAAGAAAAACCCCAGAATGGTCACAGAAATAACTTGAGTCTGACAAAAGTAAAAATAAATGGTTATTTTTAAATTGACCAATGAAAATCAGACATTGATTTTGAAATTTTATCCAACAGAATTATTTACCACATGTGCGCGTGAAACAGGCCTTGACAAAAATGAGACCAAGCTTTCTAACAACAGGCAGCACATTTCTCTGAAGAATACTTTGATGAGAAAAAAAAATGCCTTTGTCAGCTTTAAGTTATTTCGGTGACCATTGTGCATTTTTTTCATTAACAGAGACGAACCATCAATTTTTCCACACATTTATAACTAATTGCATGTTTTTTTTTTTTTTCCATTTTCACTTGCTGTAGGTATAAAGGCGTCCTTCTTTTGTTGCGTACTGACCAGGAAGTTCAAGATCAGTACGAAGTTTTCTCTATTCGTGCATTGAGCACATCACCAACAGAGTGCGAACACACAATTTAGAGGGCCAGCAGACACAGAGGATGACAGTCGAGAAGTGATGCATTTAAAGGCATACCAAACACAAACATGGTGTGTTCACAATTGTATGGTAAGAAAAAAAAACACTTCCCATCACATTCTGATATTGGCAGAGTTAATGGATACCTTAGTTAAAATTCGGTATAGTGTAGTGAGAATGATTTAAAGCTTATGCTTGTTATTCATGAAATGAATAAACAGTAACTGTGCAAATGATTCTGAGAAACTAAATTGAATGACAACGTGCAACAATGCAGTGCATGAAATGAAACATTTGAAATCTAAACAAATAGCCTCACTTACAGTGTATGAAGTCTCTCTTTTTTTCCCCCATGATGAGAATGCCCTCAAGAGCTTTTCAGCACAAAATAACATCCACCTCAATCTTGTTATCATAAATCATGTCAGTAAGTTCATTACTTCCACGGGCCGTAGTGGTGTTTTTCGCACACATCACCAACTGATGATGAACTTTTGCCTAACTTGTCCAGGTCAGTCAGTGTTCATGTAACTGGTCCATCAGTCTCTTCAAGTATCAGTAGCGACACACAAAATGGAGCCTCACAGTTGAAATCGAGTTATTAAGCGGCATCAGTGCCGCCAAACACACTCCTCGCTCAGACGGTTACAGGGCAGATTAAAATTTTGTCCTCCAGCATGACGCTGATGACGAGGAAAACAAAGTAGAGCAGGAACATGAGGAAGCCCAGCAGCTTGCTCATCCTCCACTTACAGGCTGCGATGGAGATGATGACGAAGAGGAGCATGAGGAAGAGGAGGACGATGGCGCAGAAGAGGCCGTTGCTGCTAACCTCTACTGGTTTGAAGTCGTTGATGATGTTGTAGATGAGCCACGGGAATGGCAGGCTAGAGGGAAAGTTAACATCCAATAATGAGCTGGGGAGGGTGGGGGTCATATTTTATCTGATGTAATCCTCTCACTTACCCCACAGTGATGTCAAAGATGTTAGAGCCCACTGAGCTGGACACAGCCATGTCACCAAGGCCTTTTCGGGCCACAATCACACTGGTGATGAGGTCAGGGATGGAAGTGCCTGCTGCTAGGATAGTCAGACCCATGATCTCCTCTGTAATCCAGAATGTTTCGCCAACCTACAGGGCAAAGAAACGCTTGATTAATGCTTCATTCATTTAGTATTTCACTGCAGCCAGAAACATGCAGACAGGACTCAATATCCCATTGGCAATGGCCTTGTAAAAGACAAGAATGTAAAAAAATAACACTTTACAACATAATAATTAATTATTTGGTATACTACATCAAATCATATTCATTCTTTATAAACACAGTTAACAGAGTAAAAACCAGGTGGTAAAAATATTTGATCCTCCATTTTCCAGAAAATTGCAAACATATGATGCCACTGAATGTAAAATTTAAGATTGCTGGCATGTTCCCTTTTGGACATACTTGGGGACAAATCAAGATGTATTTATCATATTGTATTAATTAAGTTAGTCCCTGACTGCTGTTCAGCACCAGTTTAAGAAGTTTCATGGCCGCCACATTACTTCAACACAAAGTACAATTGACAATGTACTCCGCCCCACTAAATAAAGATCAAGCACCTTTGTCCACATCAGCAATTGTGATTAAATTGGTGAAAATTACTTGACCCATTTCGGCCATTACAGTGTGCGGTTAGCTAGCTAGCTGTACCTACCCCCCACCAAAAAAATCATAAACCTTGGATATCACAATTTACTGAAAAGCTCAGCGTCATCACCTAAAATGTCAAATTTTATGCTTATTCTGTTATGCGGGCTAGCGTAATATTGTATGTTGAAATGCAAAGTATCGTGGGTATGTAACGCGCAGCAAACATGTAGCCACAGGATGAACGTGTGCCACCTGGTTTAATAAACCGTTAACTTTCCCTGAAGTGTTCCTGTTATGATAATATACACAACACAACACAATCGACACAACACGCAGGTGGGCAGTGACATATCGGACGTTGGCAATGTTGATATACGTCGTCAAGAGGCCAGTTAGCACGCAAGCTAGCGTCTTTCGTCGTGGCATAGAAAAACCCCACAACAAATTGGTGGGATATACGACAATCGAACTACCAGCGGCTTTCAGCAGATTTACAGTATTTCCTGACTCAAACAAATGAAAAATGCTATAAGTACAAATATATTTCATTGACAACTGAACGGAGCATGGTTTCAGCACACATAGTCAACATGCCCACAGCATCTGAGAGCTGAGAGAACATCCTTTCACATACATACTTGTCACTCATTTAATTCATTCAAATGTGTAAGGCTTGTTAACGGCTCTCCTCTCAGTTGTGCATAACATTGATAAGATGTTTGTACTGTTTCACTTCACAGGGACTTTAACATTAAGCCTCTTCAAAAGGCTACATGGTAACTCAGCATCAACAAATGCTTGATTCAGCAATAAGAAGGATGACTGCTCAGGGGCTGAACATTAACGTACAGTCACGATGCTATAATTCAACTTCATTGCCTTATTGATATAAACAGCTTTATACCCTGTGATTGGCTGCCGGTCAGTCGAGAAAATAACCCGCCCTCGTCCAAAGTCAAGTGGGATACGCTCCAGCTCACCCACGACCCTAATGAGGATCAGTGGTATTGACCTTGCATGCATGATCCCCTGCTTCATGTCTGTCTTTTGCATTTACACTATTAAAATAGAGTGTTGCGGGTTGATCTGGCTGTGGCTCAAGGCAGATTAGCCAGGGATTAGTGGCCGAGGTCATATATTTAACACTCTGGCTGCTGCATTCGACAGTATATGCAGCTCTAAAATAGACAGGGGCGAACAGAAAAAAAATGTGTGTGTGTGTGTGTGTGTGTGTGTGTGTGTGTGTGTGTGTGTGTGTGTGTGTGTGTGTGTGTGTGTGTGTGTGCGCGTGCGTGCGTGTGTAAATTACCTGATGCGCCCACCACACCATCAAATAGGAGAAGAAAGCAATCCAAGTGATGGAGCCAAGGAAGGTGATGGGGAAGAACTTTTCTGAAGACTGAAATACCACAAAGGATAGGATTCAATGTCCAGCTTTAGCTCATGCCCTATAGATACAGTAATAAGCTATTTGTTAAATGTGCATGTTAAGGACACTTTTTTTTTTCAAATTTGATTTGACCAATGAGCGAAAATAATATAAAATAAAATCCTTTTGCAGTGGTTCTCAAACCTTTTGCACGGCGTACCATGTCAAAAATGACTCTCCAAGTACCATCATAATGACCAACATGACCATGATGACCAACTACAGTAATGTGACATTTATTTTTATTATTGTAAGTCATCATAACAGTATACAGTAATCCCTCGTTTACCGCGGTTAATGGGGACCAAAACCACCCGCGATAAACAAAAATCCGCGAAGTAGCAACCCCCCCCCCATATACATACATGTACATAATATTTATAAGGCCAAATTTAATGGTATACATGCATGTAGAAGTAAATTTTGAAGTAATTAACCTGACTTAATGCTGTATACTAATAGATTTAAACATGTATAAGTTAGGTTAGTTTATGAATAACAAAATACAGTACAGTAAACATATATATGTAGTACTGTATATGTTGCTCTTTGTGACTCGCTGTTGTTTTGCTGACTTTCGCTGTTTCTCGCGGACTTAATTTTTTATTTTTTATTTTTTAATGAATATGTTTGAAAAAATCTGCGATGCACTGAAGCCGCGATAAACGAACCGCGAAATAGCGAGGGATCACTGTACATAGTTTGAACATTAAGAAATATTGAAAAAGAAAAAAAAACAGTATTGCAAATGGTTTCATCAAAGAATAACTTAATACGTCTGCAAATGTATTTGTGTTGCATTTTTTCGGTTTACTTTGACTTTATGGTCACGGTGAGGACTGGTCAAAGACTGTGGGCAGGCCGGATGTGGGCCCTGGGCTGTACTTCTCCCTGGTCTGGACTGGAGAGTGCCCACATGTCACTTGTGGTATTCATACCACACTTTAAGAATCACTAACGCACAATATTATGTTTCCCACTTTAATTGTCCAACTTTAGGATCATTCGGCTACATTCACACGGGAAGCCATCCCATCCAGGTTGAAAAACACGTAACTGAGCAGTTGGCAATGGCAGTGAATGTTAAGAGTGTTATTGTAAGAATTTTGCTATTGTGACTATTACATTCTCCTCACAGGATGAATAAATATATCCATCGATGCAGTGTGTGCATGCGCGTGTATGTGTGTGTGTGTGTGTGTGTGTGTGTGTGTGTGTGTGTTTTCACCTCTCTCCTGACATCAGGCAGTGTGAGCCAGAGAGGAAAGACAATAGGGAGGATGACGAGGTAGGTGAGCTGTTTCCTGGTGGTGTCAGGCCAGGCCAGGCTCAGAGGCTGATCTTCATCTTCCTCCTCCTCGCCACCCTGATGGAGAGCCCATTTACTACACGGGGTTTTCCGTCCACATTTTACAGCTGCTTTTATTCTTTGAAAAATCCAAACTTGCAGGAAGGGGCAAACGCTATACCTCATCTCCCGCGACACCATTCATGGGAGGTGTGACTTCCACTGCCACCTTGGTACTGGTGGGAATGGTTTTAATCGCTTGTGGGAAGAACACACAGAGAATAAAACACATGAATTAAAATGGAGTGCAATGAGACAGAGAGAAGAATCGCGGCTTTGTCTCCTGATAGGGGCGTCATTTTGACAACAATAATAATCATAATTAAATGCAATAATAAGGGGTCAGGTCTGTGCTAAGAACACCCACTGCAATAAGTTAGCCTGTATGCATGTTGTACTATAAATGTAACCATCCAAGCTAAAGACAATTAATTAAATTATCCATTTTCTATTGCGCAACTGAAGCCTTCAGTACATCCCAGACCAGTTGGGCTAAAGTGAGGAACGAGGAGGACATCATTTGATTCCCTGTATCAAACTGGAGCAGTATAGTATGCAATTACTTTGTAGTTAGCATGTCTGCTTTGGCTCTGAGGTTTGGATCCGAATCCAGCTCCCAACATTGTCGAAACCGATAGTCCAACTCACTTACAACTTTAGTGAGGAGATGCGGAATAGAAAACGGATGGATTGAAATTGAAGATAACATTGTAACACACCAACGCCGTTGGCACTGACAACCTGTTCTTCTTTACACTTCTGCTTTGCCATTTTGTGAAGGATTGAAGCCTTCTCTTTGAATCGTCCTGAAAGTGAGACAAGAGAGTTTGGTTTTGTGATGACATTTGTGCATTACGGGAAATATGTTTTTTTTTCTTATTGTGACATGCAAATAAGGAAAAGATGCAGCAACAGTCCAAAAATATTGGAGAAATAACTCAAGACATTATTATGTCAACTAATCTATTAAAAGCTGTCCAGTAGTTGATCATGTTTACAATCCATTTCACATCAGATTGAGTTACTTACCTTCTGTTTGCAGCCATATGACAGATAGCAAAAAAGAACATATGGCAATTTGCAACATTTGACACACTCTTTTCCCCTCCTATAGCTATTTGCTCCAAATATTAAATGACGTAATAATTGTTCTAAAGAGCCACGTTATTTTTGTCAAGGCAGCTTTGTGGGACTGTACCTCAAGTTGTTGATAGTGTCTATTTATATATATAGTGCAGCAACCCCGAAGTTTACTTTGTTGAAATTTGAGGTGCAAGTATCATGAGTGTATATTTTGCCTCAACACACCTTCATTACTCAAAGGGTCCAGTGTGTGTATCATGAGCTGGAAAATGCTGTTTCTCATCAATGAGTTGTGCAGTGAAGCACAGCTGCCTTCCCTCTGTAACCTTGGTTTGGCCTATAAAAATGTAAACATGTCAGCAGTCATAATATTCTTTTGGTTGGAAAAAAAAAATAACAAAAGTATACACGCATTAAAGCAGACTCACCATCAGTTTGTTCTCATCATCTGCAGCAGGGGCGTTGACCTGTTAATAACAAGAGAAAATAACAAGAGAGAAAATACCGTTTCCTGTTTACTCCCACCAAATCTTTTCACAATTCCTTGTATTTGTTTGGCATCTTTCGTAAAACAGTAACAAACAAAGAAAGGAGTGTTATCAGAGGACAGCGAGCAAAAAGTGACCACTGAGGAAGGAGCACACATTTGTAGTAAACTAGCAGGACAGGGAAAGGGCCGTGACAATGTATATGGAGCATGTTTGGGTAAAATATATGAATAATAATCACAGACTATTTATACTGAACTGGAGAGAATGAAAACAATCAATCAGCTATAAGTTTGTTTTGTTGGTATGGTTTTGATTGTTTGATTTTCGATTTATGCTGACTGAAATAGAGTTCCCATTTGTGAAATTAATATGGAAATAAAATGTATAAATGCATGATAAAATGAGCTGTGAAATGCATTTAAAAAAAATTAAACTAAAGTGTCATGCCCATGTTCGTTTCTGGGCCTTGGCCTTCCTGTGTGGAGTTTAAATGTTTTCCCCGTGCCTACGTGGGTTTTTTCCGGGTACTCCGGTTTCCTCCCACATTCCAAAAACATGCATAACAAGTTAATAGAACTCTAAATTGTCCCCAGGTATGATTGTAAGCACAAATTCATCTACGTGTGTCCTGCGATTGGCTGGCAACCAGTTCAGAGCGTACCCCGCTTACTGCCCAAAGACAGCTGGGATAGGCACCAGCACGCCCGCGACCCTCGTGCAGATAAAGCGGTTTAAGAAAATGGATGGATGGATGGATGGATGGATGTCCGGCCCATTGCACTTATTGCATATTAAATAAATATAAAATTTTAAAAATACTGTAATTTAAACTCTCTTTAACTTTGGTAAAAAAAGCATTTTTTGCCATGCTCGTCCCCTTCTGAATTTTTTTATAAAAGCTCAGATGCCGACCTCCTTTCATGGAGCGCCACGGAACGCCCGACAAGCCCATCCATCCATTTTCAACACCACTTATCCTGTACGGTCGCAGGAGGTGCTGGAACCTATCCCAGGTGGCTCTCAGGCGGAACGCCGACTCCACCCTGAACTGGTCGCCAGTCAGTCGCAGGGCACATATAGAGATAAACAACCATTCACACCCACATCCACACCGTCATCGAGTGGGAGCCGATCCCACGCTGCCCGCACACAAGTGAGGGGAGGGTATCCACTACACCATCAGTGACTTCATCATAACTATACCGTGTTTATTTTCTTTCAAAAAATGTTTCACGAAATACATTTAAATTCCCGCTTTTGTCTTTAGGTTTTCCGTCAGTTCTCTAACCCAAACGCATTAACGCATCTGAAAAATGTGTCATCGTCCCATCGTCAACATAAGTTGCATCGTTCAGATCCTCTGCCGGCCATAGTAGGCCAAACACAAGTTTACTCATTGATTTAGATTTGATGACATTTCATCTCTGACCGGTCATTTGTCATCTGTTGAGTTTTAATATACATATTTTTGTTGAATGGCTGTAATTAGTAATTAGTAGTTAGTAACTGTATCAGGATATAAGGCTTATATCCTGATACTTATAACATGCTTTTCATTTCAGTCGATATTGATTATTATTGATTTTTTTTCACCAATCAAAATCAGAAAAATAATTAAATGGATTAAAGATAAAATAACATAAAACAACAACCCAGAGGGAATACCATTCAAAATATCTGTTATAGTAAAACACATTTTCAAGTTATGCACACTGTTTTCGTGTCTATTTTAATGCAGTGTAAAAGGCAATGTTGTTTACATCCATGCTCCTCTAGCAGTCACGTAAATTATTTGTGGAAGACGCTACCCCAAATCAAGATCACGGGAGCTAGCACGTCAAAGATGGAGAACTGCTTTACTTATTCCCTACCCATCCATTCGGAGGTGTTTAATCTTGTTATTTTTCATGCACAATATTGTCTAATGTCTGCCTACAGTTCAACCTGATTATTTTCCATTGAACATATTTTCTATTGATCTATCACGTGTCGATCGCGATATTGATGTATCGCCCTACTTAGTGTTAAGATTCATTTTGAGAGACTTACAACAAGCCAATGACACTGATTTGGCGGAATCCTGCGTTTACAAAGTAAATGCAATCAGCATTGTCTACAATGCCAAACAGGACTGTGGCATATGCAGATGCTAATGTACACTAAATGTTCTCATTATATACGATAAACCTATTAATTTGGGGAATACCGCTAAAACTAGGATAGAGTATTGCCCCCCCAAACACCATTCTATTCCCACTCCTTGTGTCAGATGTCCTCAAAGGGTAAGTAATTTTACTTTATTTTAGTTTCATTTGACGGTGGTCCTTGGTTTATCATCGTCCTGCTGTGGTTTATCATTGTCCTGCTCTACACCTGCTTTGTGGTCACAAGCGGACCTCAGCGGATGAGTTAAAGTTGGCAGGGAGCGATTACAGAATCCCCCTAAAGCTGTGCTGCGCCCAAGGAGAGGAAATTCCAAAATCTAATATTGATTATAATAATTATGCATTCAATAAATTGATTTCTACCATGATTCAGAAGGTTCCATTCACACTGTTGTCAAATTTATGAATGAAATATGATATCAACCACACACATCTGCCCGCCTGCACCTCGATCAAATCCACCAAAATCGGGTTACAGTACTTGCGCCACAACTTGGACCTGCTCCGAGCTGGTCTAAGGAATTATCTAAATTCAGCCAACAAAATTGCCAGGGGGGCGTAAAAAAAAAAACGCCCTCGGCCCGCCAGGATGCCCAGCAGTCTTTGAAAGACGACTGCATGTGCCCCGTCACCCTCAGAGTGAAGGAAGTGCAAAGAGTGCTGCAGCTCTTGAGCTAGGATCGTGGAGACGATGCCTTGTTCAAGACAACTCGCATCTCTCCAGCAACTACTTTGCTTATTGTCGTCCGTTGTGAGACTCCAAGGCGCTTCAGACTGAGCTAGCATGGCTTCCTCCAAATACATCAGCTTTGTGTTCAAATAAACCAGTACAGATATCAATGACATGATTTCAATGCTATTTTATGAAATTTTTCAATTGTGAAATGGGAGAGGGAGCACAAAAACTGAAAAGTACAATATTTGCAACTGCAATGTGGCCAAGTGCGACCATAATTGATGTCGCTAATGTCTGTGTTGGACACCTTGTGGAACTGATTGAGAGAGCGCCGGGATGTGTGTTTGCTGTCGTCACTGCAGGTAAGAAGATGTTAAGGGGATCAGAGAGGATTGGTGTCTTTCGTGCTATCATCAAGCAAACCAGCAACTTCTCACTCATTTCTCAGCACCGAAATTGAAGTAAATGTTTGGTTCAGTCTCCTAACAATGTGCCCGACGGTCATAACTTCGGGATGTTGTCAGCCTGAAGTGAGGAGAGGTCTTTTTGTTCTCCACCCTTCTGTGTGCTGCCGCGATTGCTTCTACCGCCAGAGAGCACCTGCCTATTATTAGCGGCTATAATGGGATTGAAGAGCATTAACCTTTGGGATTATTTAGCAGTAACCATTACACGAGGACAGGTGGACATCAAGTGCCTTGCAACAAAAATGGAAAGGCTCTTCTTGGGGGTGATGTTATGTAGCCAAAGGTACAGCTGATTCCCAGAAGGCGGCAAAAGCCACAGAGCATTAAATCGGTTCAATGTGCTCATAACTACTATAAAATACAATATCAGAGTATTTGGGATCGGACATTTGACGTGAAGTGTGAAACCGATTTCAAAAAGCATGGAATCGTATATCGTACGTAAAATTATATTCACAATAAAAGTAATAAAACCAAGACAATCATTATTATTTACGCATGACTCAATCAATCACCGCCCAAAAAAAGCCGCCATGAAAAGAAAAAAAAAAAACACAAGTCATGCTTTTGAGAAGCAGTTTGTTATTGGCAACTGTTAGATGATCATCTAAGGGGAGGGAGGGGCTTGCAGGGTGATGCAGCAGATCGTCAGCTCAGAGCATCATGACGATCATCTCAGTTTTACGTCAGTCTCTGTTCGACCTTGTACCGCGTCACACAGCACAATAACACGACATCATTTGGATTTCCAATGTGAAGTGATTGGGAAAGTGGATGTCAAGTGATTGCCTCTGAGTGTGATGAACAAGAGTGAAGAGGCATCTTCACAATGTCACATACAAGACAAGATGTGTTGAATAAGCGAGTGGAGATGAGAGAGTGAGAGAGAGGAAGAGAGACTTAAAAACAGTCTCTTCTGACATTTTGTTGCACTTTAAAATGCAAATCGGGTTTCAATTAAAATAAATGTAGCATATTTGAGAAGGCGTTTTAATTCAATGCCTGCTGATTAATGAACCCAAGTGTGGCTTGTCACATCAGCCCCGTTCTGAGAACTGAACGAATGGTCTGAACCGGGTTTCTAAAAGTAGACACTAAAGATGAAGTCTGTTCTTTAAGTCATCACGAAGCGGTCAAGGCCTGTCTTGGTGTCTGGTACTCTTGTCTGAGTGGCAAAGGTGGAACCGCAACACCTATATTTATCTCCTTGCACAGAGGAATTCACATGACTTTGACCTTCTGTTTAATTACTTAGTGGTGAATCAACACCTGGCGTGCTCCTGGGTCATCGCCCTCTCTGGCCTCAAAGTTGGCAAAGACAGCTCTCTGCATGATTCAATGAGAGAAACACGCTCTCATCTGCACATGACAAAAGCGACCTTTGCAAAATATTGGTTCAAGGTTTTTGCCTGGATTTGACAACTGCCTCATAAAACTTGAATTTGACAAAAGTCGATTCAAAACTAGAAACAATTCATGTCAGGCGTGTCATGGTTTGGTGACGATATGGCTTTGTGCATGGATAAGCAGAGAAAATACACTCGGGTTCTTGATGGACTGAATGAAAAGATGATGAGCAGGAAATCCAGGGATCATGGATTCATGTACCATTGGTTGTATGAATGTAATAATAGATCCAGGAAACATTTGATTGATTGCATTGATAAATACCCCAGACTGTATGGATGCAGAGATGGACAGGTAGCATTAGGAACAGGATGGATGAATGGATGAACAGAAGGACAGGTATCTGGTGTGATAAAGGGATAGACCGGTGGATTTAGGGACAGTTTAATAAATGAAGGGATCATGGACGGATGGATGGAGTGACAGTTCAATGACACTCGGGTTGAATGGGTGGAAGGATGGATGGACAAGCAACGGAACAGAGTGATTGTTGGATAGACGCATGGACAGCCAGATTGGTGGCTGGCTGGATGGACAAACGCATGAATAGGTGTATGAGCAGATGGACAGATAGTGGGAGGAACCAATGGATGGATTGATGACCCGATTAATGACAATCCATTCGATAGGTGGTTGGGTCAATGGGTGTATGGCTGAAGGGCTGAAGGGAGTGACAGACAGATGAAGGAACAGGTAGTTCCATGAATCTAGGGTTGATTGGCTTTTAAGGATGGATGGATGAGCAGTGGAGCAGATTGACCGTTGGATCGACCCGTGGAAAGGTGGACAAACAGACAAATGGATGAATGAACAGATTGCTTGCTGAATCATACCTTGGGTGCAGTCTCCATTATGTCCACCTGGTTGCTGCCCAGTTGCCTTTTGATGAGCAGTTCTACCTTGGCGTTGAACTTCATGAATGTCACATAGGTGCAGTAGCACATGAGCAGGCTGATACTTTCCGTCAGTGTGATTTCGTTATCCAGAAAGAAGTAGATGAGCATGAGCAAGCCCACAATGTAGAAGGAGACGTCTCGGAACAGAGGCCACCAGGTGAGGTTCAGCACCTCTTTGGAGAAGATGGCGCACATGCCGATCACAAACAAGATGTTGAAGACGGCCGAGCCAACGATGGTGCCGATGCCCACGTTGCTGTGGGAGACGAAGACCCCTATGACGGAGGTGAACAACTCTGGAGCCGAGCCGCCTGCTGCCATAAAGGTGGCTCCTGCGACATCATCGGAGATCTCCAGCTTTTCAGTAATGACGGTCAGCGCTGGGACAAAGAATTCATCACACACGATAGCTAAAGCGATAAACATGTACAACATGCCAAACATATGAAACACCACAAAGCCTTGGCGCCTGTCCTCCACGCTAAAGTAGTCTGTTGGGTAGTCCCCGTGATTCATCTCGATTTCTGAGCTTTGCTGGGGCCCGGGGTCGGACACATTCTGGTGCTCCAGGAGAGTTCTTTGGGGCACCTCTACATCTCCCGAACCCTCGGATTCAGGCTCAGTGGGCACCCCCGTGGTGACAAGAGACAAGGCACTCCATGAACACACTGTGCATACAACTGCCAGGCTGACGATAAAGCCAAGAATTCGCCCAGGCCGCAGTTTTCTCTTCACGCCCTGGTAGTGGTGCTTCATGCAACTGCGAGGTGGTCCGAGAAGGGGAGCAAAGCTGGACGGATCCATGGGGTCTTGACTTCTTCTTGGCAGGAAGGACTCCATCATCTTTGGTTCTCAGGCAGAGTGGAAGTATCTCCAATCACCGCAGCCAATGATGGGTAGGAAGTGCTGTTGGCTACAAGGGCAGGGATCTGACAGGCCACACTGGTTCACCGATTGGTTTGCATCTTCTTTCTCCTTTTAATCCCAATGGAGGCCCTTCAGTCGGACTCCAGGGTCTAGCCCATTTAAAGGCTTCCTCATATTACTCCCTGGACACACACACACACACACACATACATACACAAACAAACATTTGAATTCAGAACTATCCCTATCCCAACATTATAGACACGTAGTACAAAAAAAAAGAAAGCATCACAATCAAATCAGATTCGATCCAAGAGATGGAACACAATTCAATCTCAGCAAAGATTCCAAATAATGTTCGGTTTGAAAAGACACTGTCAAAGTGTAATTAATCGACCGGCATGTTTATTAATGTGTGCATGGCATCATACTGAGGGCTCTCTTGACTATCATGGAGCTCAGTGAGATGGAGACCGTATAGGGCAACAAAGTTGGCCACCAATGCAACTACATTTTCTCAATGACAAATATATTGTAACTGGAATACCACTTTGACAGTGTAACTGAACTATACAATCATTTGCAAACTAAACATGTTTGTCATTGACCAACTGTGGAAAATGGTGGCGTAGAAAAACACGGCAATAGGTTTATTTTGTCAGACGTGATCAAATGAAGGAAAATTGACAGTGCATTTTCAACACCGATTTTAGGAAACCGGGTGTTTATTTTAGTCCTGCTTGCAATCAGGAGAGTCTTTTTGACCATATTCTGTGGCTGCAGCAGCCTTCTTAAAATTGTGCTGAGAACCTGAGAGCATCTGACATTAGTGAAAGCTTATTAGGAGGCTCCCTAATCCCTCATAAGATATACTTAGATAAGCCACAGAGCCAGCACACTGCCGCTGCGCCAAGTCAAAAAGTAGACATTGTCACAAATCAAAAGTCCATTTTAGCATCAAAACTAAAAATAGCATACAGGGGCAACATTTTACGTATCACTTTCAAACCTCCTCAGCGTTCATTTTACACCTCCCAAAAAATAAAAATAAAAATAAATAACATTTTCAATTAGAAGGAAGTCTTGTTTGGTAACCACAGAGGTACAACGGAGACACAGTATACCGGTACTACAGTACATACAAACACAAAAGCAGAAAATGTGCATATATGATACTGTATGGAAGAGGAAATCCTCACCTGAGTTGGAGGTTGCTCTGCCAGCTGGCCTGAAGATGGAATAATATTTCACTCAATTCAATCCCCAAGTAAAATGTTCCAATCGGATGTTTCATTCAAAGTTGCCAATGGCAAATTCTCCGTGAGATCTTCGTCCCTGAGAAGAAGTTCCAAAGGGGAAAAGAGCCAAGTACTGAACACCAAGTGCTCCTCCCTCACTCTCTCTCTATTCCTCCCCCTTTGACGCTGCCTCCCGCCTTCTGCATTTCCCCGTTCCTCCCACTACCATTCTACAGTCAAGTGAAGTCCAACGTTGGTCTTGCCTCTACTCCCGCCGCCACCTCTCACCTCACCCCACCATCCCTTCTCTTCATCCTCACACCCAAGTCGATGGATGTTGTCAGCCTCAACCAGCTTACGGCGTGATAAAGCTCTGGCCGATCGTGCCATCGGGTCACTGGCCTGTGCTTGGAGCCCTGGAATTGGAAAACTATCCCAAGTCCTGTACCCTGATGTAACAGCAAAGTTCAACTGGGATGCCGCGCGATATTATTTAGCGCAGGGGTCACAAAAACCTTGATGAAACGGAAAGCTACTTCTTGGGTACTACTGAATATTGCGAAAGGTTTGACGATGACTTCTGAAGTCACATATTTGCTCAAATTACACTTATGTGACACTTAATAATGAATGATGTAAAGATATTGTTTATTCTCACAATAATTATGAAGAATGATTTCCCAAGGTAGGAAATAGAAGTACTTATTTCTGTCACTCTCTTCAAAGTGTTTGACGCTCCCTCCCAAACCACAGAAGCACTGTTGGATTTCAATGATCTGGTCTTTTGTTTCTCATCCCCTACTGTTGCTATCCAATTACACAGGAGCATACTTAATGGAGTGGCCCTCTCACTTTCACTCACCAGCAAATGATGCTGTCGAAGGCTTAGAGAAAGACTGGCTCCATCCCCGTCAAAATCCTCTACCATCTGGGAAGACATTTATAGTAAGTAGGGGAGGACAAACCTATTTGTCCTCACTCTGCATTCACGTTAGAGAATATGTTGTTACAGCCCGAGATTACTTTTTGATCGATTAACAATGTTTGAAGACAGTAGTTGCTAAATTAAGGCTAGCACAATGTCCTGTCAGGGCTCAACGTGTTATATAACTCAGCAAAATAAGCTATCCTCCTTTCAAGTTAGCCTGAGACATAGTAGCTCTCCTGCGTGACCTGAAATAAAAATAAATCTCTTCTCATTGGAGAGAAACCACACTTGACCTTGTGTCCCACAAGAAGCACGCTAGCCTTTTATTTCTCTGTTGGTGGTGGGGTCACCTGTAAAATGTCTGCCTTCAATCAAATCAAAAAGGATCGATCTGGAAACCATCAGAAAACACCAGCATCGGAATGTGACTTCACGACATCGTCGACATGTGAGAGTGCTGACTTTTGTTGGTGAGGGCTTCTTCTAGAGGAATGCTATCAACAAAATGAAAAAAATATCGACTGTTGAGAGGAAATTAGTGACATTTCTTGAACCAAAGCTTCTGTGTTTAGGTCAGTGGAACGCCTGGCTATCCCAAAATCTCCAACAATGCTTGTTACCATAGAGTGAGGAATTGATTTATTGGTGCAAACCTGGTTGAGCAGCTACAAAAAAAAAGTGACTCCTGGCATGTGGATAGCTGTATTTTCCTCTTTATTAGGCACAAAAAATTGCATTATACAAGGAGGCAATGCAACATGTGACAATGTAGTTCATCTTGTTGAGGATAATAAGCAGCATTCTCCACCGTTTGACCTTGGCTTTCAAGTACAATTATTGATTCGTTTATCTTCAGTCTAATTGTCTCAAGGTAAGGACCCAACCCAGTTTGCGCCACCTCAGAGGACAATTATCTCCTCTTCTTCCTGATTACGAAAACAATGTGAAAGCAAATCACCCACCATGTTATGCCCTCGTAATTCGGGTCCTCACCATGTAAGTGCTTCTCTCCTCATCACCACTTTCTCCCCCATCCTCAGCATTTGGCCTTCTTTCCATAGCTGTCCACCACCTCTGGTGAGACACTCTCATCTTCGCTTACATCCGCTGTCACAGCCTTGCCAACCAGCTGGAAGATGTCCTCAGCCGCTACGCCCATGGGCTCGGCCACCTTCACTGTTAACATGTCCAGACTGAGGACAGTTCCTTTGGTGATCTTCACCTTGGCCACAACTGACTTTCCCAGCTAGAGAAAAGAAATGTCATTATGATTCATTTTACAAATGCGATGTTTACTCAGATTTTCAATTGTTCTCAAACAACAATGTCAAACACAAATCATCCTTATTTTAATTCAATATGGTAGATTTTTTTTTATTATTTATTTTGACAAAGGCCTCGCAATTCTCTATACACAGGCAGCGAGTTCTTTTATGCTTGAAAATCTTGTCAGGCGCATTCAATTTAGCACTTCCACCGAGAGCATTGCCCATAATCTGCATTTGCTATTCATTTACTGCTGAACCAGCAAGTGCCGAATCCACCTGAATGGGTTATACCTACTTGTAGAGCGCTTTATGTAGTCCTTATGTTGTCCAATGCACTTTATCAAGCCTCATATTCACTTTTTTAAAACATACTGTAGCAACCTTCACAAGTTTTGTGGTTTCCGATGGTACGTGGGCGAAAAGAGGGGCGACACCGGAGGGCGCAGGAGAGGGTATGGAGAAGTGACACTGCAACTTTCAAGCTACGCAATGGCAAGCATTGTTGTTTTGGCGCGCTTACGTCCAATGGTCAATACTTTGTGTTCTCATTAAAGTGTTTGCTGCTAGCTCACCGCTTCGCCCGATTGGTCCAAACTATAGACTGCAATATTTGCATGGTGTACAGTGTGTACATACACCCAGTAGTTGCAATAATGTACTTTGTCTTGTTATCTCATCGAGCTCCCATGTCTTGCAGAGTGGAGATACGGCACCTTGTCACGACACGGCTTCTCACAAGGTAGCATCTTCTTGAGACCACTTCCCAGTGCCCTCTCTACCAGTCGGATGGAACGGACCAGCTCGGCCAGCTCGGAAGCCTCCAGGGATGCTGCATGGTCACTTCCCTTCCAAGTCTTGTCCAGTGTGATGTGACGCTCTATGACCTTTGCCCCCAGAGCAACAGCCGCCACTGAAATACTGATTCCGGACTCGTGGCCAGAATACCCAATTGGAATATCAGGGAATTCCTTCTGGTATTCCTGTTGATGACAAGAGGGTTTTAAGATACATAATGCTTCTAGCATTTCATTGGGTTATAGTCCTTTTTGTTCGATTTACTGTGATCACTCTGAGGTTGACATCCTCAGGCTCAAGGGGGTAGGCACTGGTACACTGCAGGATCGCAAAATTTTGGTTGTGCTCCTTCACTGTCTTGTACACCCGACGCATTGTCTCCATGGACTGCATCCCGCTGGACACCACCATGGGACGCCCTGGCACATACACAAGTGGGAAAACATGATGTTAATTCATATTAAAGTAAAGCTATTCAATGGATGTCTTACGATTGCCTTTCTAATTTGTCGCGATGAGTCGTCAGGTGCAACATCTACTAAAATCAGTGTTTCTCAACCTTGGTTGAGACAAGGCACATAATTTGACATAATAAACATCTCACAGCAAACCACCAAACAAAAATGTCGGAACAATACTGAAATAATGATCCTCTCGTTGAAACGTACTTAAATTAATTCGGCGTGTGTGCGCTCACGCGAGTTTGTATGTGCTATAACTATTCTGTTGCGTGAATGGCAACAGTTGAAGACATAGGTTAATTATGCACCTTCTGCCATCTAGTGGGGAACATTTAATCCTTCTGCCTGTCACTATATTTCACTGGAATACAGTATAGAGTTGAATAAAGGGCCACAGTGTTGTGTATGTGTGTAAATAAATTATGGAATTGAGGAAATACATTCCCACGCCGCGAGTAGAGGAAATGCTGTAATTTGGAAGTGATTAACGAAATAATTTGGGTTTTCCCACCTTTTTTGGCAGTCTTCTCCAGGTAAGGGAAGTTGTTGGTGTCTCCTGAGCCCACTTTAAAGAAAGGCACATTTAGCTCATGGAGGAATTCTACCGCCATCTAAAATTTGGAATAAATGTATCACATACAGTTCAAAGCAAAAAAACAAAACAAACAAACAAACAACAAAAAACCTGCAAATACATTCAGTGACCGACCTCATCCATCCCTGAGGCAGTGAAGAAGATTCCCACTTCCTTTGCGTACGTCTGTAACTCTTTGTACTGCTCATGGCTGAACTCCAGGTGGCGTTTATGTTCACCATAGGTTTCCCCCCACGAGTGTTTGGCCTTGTATGGACGCTCTAATGCGCGTTTGTTGAACTTGTATTGCAGTTCACTCTTCTGGAACTTCGCACAATCAGCACCACAGTCCTGTCAAAGTGCAAAAAAAAGTGAGGCCTGAATTGCATACCTGTCAACTTGTACGTTTTCCCCGAATTTTATACTTTTTTTTTTTTATCATTTCAAATAATGTACGGCGTATTACAACTTTTATACGTGTGGGGGGTGGGACAATTGTGAACCGATCTCACAAAGACCATTTGGCTCAAATCCAGATCGTCTCACCTGCTGGTAAGCCAACGACAATGCCGTCGTCGATCGCTACTATTATCACGGCAAACCAGCAAAAGTAATCCTCTTTCGTATATTTTTTTTTAGTCGCTGCGTACCGTCGGATTGATAAAGAAGGGGAGGAGCCCCTTGATAGGGGGCACATATCACACATGACAAATAAAACTTTAACCAGATAGGAGACCATTTTGAAATGACTTAGTTTACTTGAGGCCCCTGTGATTTTTTTTTAAAGTTACTCAGCTTGTCCAAGACCATCTGTTGTTCAACACAAAAAGAACTTTGAGCTGCATATTCGTGTAAATTTTTACCTTTGCCATTTTGATCATTTTCTTAGCGAGCTCGATGTCTCCCTGGTGATTTTGCCCAATTTCTGCGATAATGAAACACGGATGGTTGGCTCCGATCATCCGACCGGGGCAAAGTTCGAACTTTAAAGGCATGTTGACGACGGAGAAGACAAACAAGCACAAAATGTAACGATGAATGAAATTGCTCGTAGGGAAGCAAAAAGCTGCTGTTTCCAGGATCTAAGGAACGCCGACCCGGAACTGTTACCGTGACGCATATGCCGGAAGCGTCCTTCGCTTCCGCATTCGAAGAGTGCGTTTTTTTCCGTAATGAGAAACATAGCATCATTTTATATATATATATATATATATATGTGTGTGTGTGTGTGTGTGTGTGTGTGTGTGTGTGTGTGTGTGTGTGTGCGTGTGCGTGTGCGCGCGCGCGCGTGCGTGTTTGTGTAAAAAACACGTGATAACTTTTTGAGCAGGCAGTGGGACGCTCGGTGAGTGTATCCGGAAAAGAGGCCCAGCCACCTCGGCCGAATTCCCACAAGTGAAGTGAACGTCCCTGGCTGCAGTTCTGCTCATCTGAATTTTTTTCTAAATCCACTTTCATGCGCTCAGTCGCTCACCCGCACATGCGTGTGCAATGAAGCCCCCCCCAGCTCAGGTGCCGACCTCCTTGCGCGGAACTCCACGGAACGCCCGACAAACCCATTCATCTATCCATCCATGCATTTCTGACTACACCCTGAACTGGTCGGCAGTCAGTCGCGGGGCACATACAGAGACAAACAACCATTCACACCCACATCCACACCGCCACTGAGTGGGTACCGATCCCACACTGCCCGCACACAAGTCAGGCGAATGTACCATGAAGTGTGTATTCTGCCCATATTTAGTCTTGCAAGTATTAACATTCTCATGTTCGAAGTGAAACTCTGTTTTGTAGCCAGATGTATCCTTGAAGCACACTACCTCATCAGATAGCCGTAGGAATGTGCCAGTTGATACAAGCTAAGAATCGGTTTGGAAGAAACGAAAGTCCTGATGCCACACCATGGGTTTCGGTACCGCCCTTCTGATGATATAAACATGATTAATATGAAGAATATTCTGCAAATAAACCCTTCGAAGGTACTCTTCGTCTCCAGCCTGTATTTGGATAACCAACATCCTCACCATGTGAAATTCAACGAACACGAGGAGGAAAGAAGGTCACTTTCCCCCCAACAACTACTACACCGGCGACTTGATAAGATAAGCGTATCAGGGAAAGATGCGATGAGTGGCCTGCCCGCCGACTTTATGACTATTTACACGGGGTGAGGCGGGGTTTTAGTGAGCCGGGCATCTTACTTCCATGTCAGAAAAATAGCCACCAAAGTAACTCATATTTCAGAGGAAAGTAGATCCCCATTGTGTCAAAGGAATATATTCATATACAGGTATTGTATATGCCTATCGTAACTGCGGAAAGCTGAAAGTAGTATGATACAGACTCTTTAACGTGCATATTTTTGGGATGTAAAATACACGCGCCAATCAGGGAGGCCGGCTGCTGCTATCAATCACCCTCCTCATGTTCTTCCTCATCTATGAAAAAAAAAAAAAAACTGACAGCCTGGTAAAGTAGGGTGTAGGGAATGTTGGTTTAGACAAGAACATATAGGTTCTGTTCTTATCTAACAGGTGTTCACGGCCATTGTTTGAACAAGTGTAAAACATATATATATATATATATATATATATAAAACTGGCAACATTTCAGACTGATAAGTTTGACGAGAGGTATTGGGGAGGCCATATATATATATAAGGTAAGGCTTGTTTATTTTTAAAGAGCATCATTTGAACAGATGTCACTCTCTCTCCCTATCTTTATGACACCACCTTGACATCACAGTACCAGCACGTTTGAACGTTTGAAGCACAGTGATGTTGTTTCCCTTGAGTCTTTATGAGGTGACATTTCTTGAATTTAAAATTTTCACTCATCTGACAAGCAGCGTGTAAGTTTGTCACGCCATGCAACTGTCATTCTACAGTATTCACATACATAATGAGCAAACATCTGTCCATTCGTGTAAAAATAATATGGAGACCTCTTGCTTGGACTCCAGCAAAGCAGGTTCTGCTTTTGCCATGTCAAGGACTGTGCGCCTCTCACGTGTCAACTTTAAATAAAGATTATAAGAGGAACAGGAAGCTTGTCGGCGATATTCATGCTCACAATGGTGTAAACCAAGCTGTGTGCATCTGTGAAAATACCAACAGTGTGTGTAGCCCACTCCTTCGCACAGTTCAACTGCGCTGCATGCCAGATTTGTCCTGGGCACATATATCGAGTTTATAATCCAAGCAGGAGGAAAAGGAGTCTATAGCAGGTTGCGTTTTTTTAAATAGTAATTTAATACATACAGATGAGCAAAGCAACAAATGACTTTGTATACAATGTCTTGTTGATGCATAGTTGTACATTTAATTCACAATTTGTGACATTCGGTGCTAACTCCTGTGCAATGAATATGCAGTAACAACCGTGAACTCCCTCAGGTTAACCAAAATGATCAGAAAATGGCTAAAGGCCGTTCACCACCTGTTGTGTGATGGTCTCATCTTCACTTACATCCTCATTCACACTCTTGCCAACCAGACGAAAAATGTCTTCAGCGTCGACACCAATGGGCTCGGCCACCTTCACTGCCAACATGTCCAAGCTGAGGACAGTTCCTTTGGGGATTGTCACCTTGGCCACCACAGACTTCCCCAGCTGGGGAAAAGGAGCAGGTCATAATATAATACAATACAATATATCCTGATTTAAATAGCGCTTTCACAACAGCTGCAGCTGTAACAAAGTGCTTTACACAATAGTTAACATAAAATAATAAAAAATAAAATAATAAACACACAACATTAAAAACACGGACAGTCGTCCAATCTTAACCACTTTTCCGTCATACGCTTTGTTGTTTGAAGCGGTTCTAGATGAAAGAGGAGAGAATCCTCCTTTCACTAGTGGATCAGAGACGTCATGCTCAAAATGTGCATACGTCTGCTGTAATGGATTACTGCTAGTTTTTGAGGCAAAGGAATGATTATTTTCTTCACAACTTAGTAATCAAGTAAAACACTAATTTCGGCTGTCTTTTTATTTTGTAGCTTTCATGGTTTTATCAATGTTGTTTAACTGAAACAACAAGGATGCTAGCCAAGCTAAAAGCTATGATGGACAGACTCTCCCACCTCCTCCAGGCCACCCTGACAGCACTGGGCGGCCCCTTCAGCCAGAGACTGATACACCCGCGCTGCAAGAAGGAGAGGCACAGCCGCTTGTTCCCGCCGACTGCTGTCAGGCTATCGAATAGACAGACCTGAAAACCTGGACTCACCCCCATTCACCCATTTTTTATATGCTTATATTTATGTGTTATAATTTATATTTATTCATATGCTTTTTGGTCTTCTACTTCTCCCTTTCATAATCTTGCTGCTGGAAATGTAATCCAATTACCTAAAATTATTCAATTGTTTGTGTAAGTTCTTTGAGAGCTTCGGTTGCATGAATAATTGTATTTGGGGTAACACCATCTCACCTTTCTATGAAATGACTCCTCGCAGGGCAACCTCTTCTTCAGACCGCATCCCAGTGCAAGCTCCACCAGTCGGATGGAACGAATCAACTCGGCCAGTTCAGCGGGCTCCAGAGAAGCTGCATGGTCGCTTCCCCTCCAAGTCTTGTCCAGTGTGACGTGGCGCTCAATGACCTTTGCCCCAAGAGCAACAGCCGCCACTGAAATACTGATTCCGGACTCGTGGCCAGAATACCCAATTGGAATATCAGGGAATTCCTTCTGGTATTCCTGTTGATGACAAGAGGATTTTAAGATATGAATTACTTCAAACATTTCATCAGGTTATTGTAATTTTTTTGTTCGATTTACTGTGATCACTCTCAGGTTGACATCTTGAGGCTCAAGGGGGTAGGTACTGGTACACTGCAGGATGACAAAGTTTTGGTTGTGCTCCTTCACTGTCTTGTACACCTGACGCATTGTCTCTATGGACTGCATCCCACTGGAAATCACCATGGGACGTCCTGACATGCACGCACGTACCGTACACACAAAAGAGAAGCTTAATGTCTAACATGAATGGATTGTTCAACATTGCAATTTCATTATTAGGCCATGATTTTAGTACCCTGGCCTTGAGTGGGTCTTACTGGACTTAATCCACCTCTTAATACTACCACTATCATGCGACATTTATATAAACAATCAACACTACAACAACTGTGCCATGTGCATCACGAGCAGTTCAGAGTCAGTATTGCTTCTATCTATCTATTGTATGTATGGAGTTAATGTATGTAATCTGTGGTTGTCGAAAATTTTAAAACTCAAATCATCCAACCAATCACCTTTCTTGGCAGCCTTTTCCAAATAAGGAAAGTTGTTGGCGTCTGCGGAGGCCACTTTGAAGAAAGGGACATTAATCTCATGGAGAAACTCTATCGCCATCTAAAAAGTGCAATAGTTAAAGTGAAACCTTTTTTTGCGTGTGTTCAAAATATAAAACCTGCAAAGGCACACACACAGTACCTCATCCATCCCTGAGGCAGTTAAGAAGATCCCCACTTCCTTTGCGTACTTCTGCAGCTCCCTGTACTGCTCATGGCTGAACTCCAGGTGGCGTTTGTGCTCACCATAGGTTTCCCCCCAGGAGTTTTTGGTCTTGTAAGGACGCTCCAAAGCACGTTTGTTAAACTTGTACTGCAGCTCACTTTTCTGGAACTTGGCGCAGTCAGCACCACAGTCCTGTCAAAGTAAATACATATGGAATGGATGAGGGACATGCACACACACTTGTACTACATTGACGTCCAGAAACGTGAGTTAATCTGCTTCAACAATCATTTTATCTTAATACGACAGTACTTTTAAAATCTCTCACTTTCTCTCCCGCTCTCTCTCCCTCGTTTAAATTTTATAATGCGGAGTATTCACGGATACTAAATGACAGAATATACTGTACACATACACACATACATAAATACACTCACATACACACACGCAAACACATATTGTTACTTGTTCCAATAAATAGTGAACAGTGCATGGTAAAATAAAAAAATAAAACACGGTAAATGTGTCACTTATTACCTTTGCCATTTTGATCATTTTCTTGGCTATCTCAATGTCTCCCTGATGATTTTGTCCAATTTCAGCGATAACAAAACATGGACGATCCCCTCCAATCATCCTACCGGGGCACAGCTCAAATGTTGAAGGCATTTTGCTGACAGCCGAGGCAACTTTGAAGAGAATTATAAGCTTGAGGCGATAAAGTGTAATGAATGGGAGACGTTCCAGTAAGGAAAAGGACGCAGATGCGTTGTAATTGCGTATTTAAACCAACAATGGGCGTAGTCAAGTTTTCAAAAACGGGGGTGGTTACTTTCGGACACGTTCAAGGCTGCTGACAGGAAAAGAAACAATCTATCTATCATTATAATTCTATTATTTCATATTGTCCCTGTAGTAGTAATAGGTTTTGTTTTGTTTTTTTTACAATGTGCAAGGAGAGGGAATAAATGTAGACCTCCTGCATTCTTCATGTCAAGGGAGCTATTGTACATTTTGATGAGAAGATAACATTTTATTTAGTTGCTTATGATTAGACCGTCATGGACTCGGCAGACTCAGGCACAATCCCTCGATCGGCAGACATCACCGCCTGCTCCTAACCATCCCTCCACCTCCAATTAAATAGTGATCATCTCATCGGCTGCTGGCTTCCCTTTTCACAGGCAACCCCTCATGGCGCTCCCTTCTCGATGGGTCGCCCAGGCCGTTACAAGACCCGGTCCTCCCCCACCTCAACCTGCTGACCACTCCCACACCCTTCATGTAAACTGTGTATTTTCCTCCACACCTCTCTCAGTTGTGCCATCCACTTGTCCTAGGTTTTAACACTGCCCTTCTATTTTCCAGCCCAATGTTTCATTTTTCAACTCAGATTTTTCTGATTGTGATTTTTCTGATTCCGATTCTGAAACAGATTTTGTTTTCCCTGGTTACTTTCCCATTTGTTACTCAAGCCCTTCCCTTCAGACACTTGGGTGCCAGATTGGCCATTTATCTGGGACCTCTGCGGGCTGCCCAACATAGGCACCCAGGAAAAGGTTCTGGTTCTGCCCATAAACCCGCCTTTTATTCTGAACTTGCCCCCAAGCCACTTTACTCCCTGCCTTTTTCATCACCTCGTTCGCTGTCTACTTCTTCACCTCCTCCCATTCATCATGTTTCTGCGAGTTCTGTTTCCTGGTCCTTCATGTCTCTTGTGCTCCCCAACCTCGATGGCGGCAGGCTGATGAGGCTGATGCGTTCTCACATACTGGCTACTCGGGACCTGCAGATCCCTGTCCTGCTACCTCGACAGCACTTGGCAACTGTCTCAGCGCCTAGGCAAAAGTAGACCCCGGCCACGGCTCCTTGGCAACGCCAACCCTGCTCCGATGGTGCATGCCCCGCTGCCGCCCTCTGAGCCCGCACTGGCGACACAAGCCCTGCGACCACCCTGCAAACCTGCTCTGCTCCAATACCTGTAGATCCCTAAAGTCAGTGACCAGCAAAGTCTTGTTACTGAAGAATCTGAGATTCAACAGTTAAGATTTCCAAAAGACTCTTCTTGCTGACATCATTTCAACATCATCAACAACATTTAACCCACAATGCTTTGTTTCCTGTGCCTTATTAGTAGACCTGCACGCAAATGGAAAACACGAAGAGAGGCCTTATCCATTGCTAACGTAAGACTACTTATGTCTAGATTTGCGAAAGAGGTTTCTCTTAGGACACCTGTCAATTACATCGACACATTGGAACCAGTTGCTTGAAGTTGATATGTAGAAAAACTGAAGTTGTTTGGACAGAAAAATAACAACAAAACATCGAACTCTCAGATAAACTTTCAAAATCAGACTGGTCAAATTAAGCCAGTTTGTTCCTGAAGTGAGCTATCACAACATCATCGGTTATTTGATTGTAAAGAATAGTGCCAACATGTATCAGGACTGTTGATGCTGTCAAGAGCCTGAAGTCATAATTATTATGTGTCTTGGTGGTTAAAGGATGTTTGGGGGATTCAACACAATGATCTTTGTCTCACGACAGAAAAGGTATGTCTATACTAAAAGGTCCATCCACAGCCTAGGTGGATGTACCCTGGTCATTTGAGAATGTCGTGATGGGATGCAAATGAAGTGGAGGGGTCCTTGTGAAAGTCTGGATACCTAATATCTCCACTGCCAAGTAAAAGAGTTGTGGTCGTGAGAGCCAGGCACAACAGATGGAAAAAAACAAATTAATATTCCACATGATAAGCGATCGGAAGCAAGGTTAAACCACAGTACCGATGTTGTCGAGGAGGAACGGAACTTTGCTGGAGATGGGAACCAGTTTGACAGGGGCTTTGTAATTGGCTTCTGGCTATCTCCAGCTGGTCTGAGTGTTGGGGAGGTGGCGTCATTCGGGTTGACAATAATCCGTGTGGACAGATAAGTGTCCGGGAGAACTGGTTGCGACTGGTCCAAGTAGGTGTTCTTCGTGAGAGTCTCCAGAACAGGCCGTTTAGTCACAGAGCACAGAAAAGAGCCAGAGGGGTCCCAAACAGGTGTGCCGTGTAGAGAAGCTAGCTTCTGGCTAACAAGAGGCGAGGCAGAGGCAGCAGTCAGGTAGACTGTTTAACTGCTCTTTTGGGGTTGATCAAACAGTCAAATGAAACTGTGTTTTAGTGAATCCATTAAAAGGTACAAAACAGCAAAAACTGCAGCGGAGGCGCGGCAGCAGATTGCCAGGTCCCCCAATCCCACTGGCTTGCGAAGGTCGGGCGAAGGCCACTGTTTTGGACAAGTTGGGATGGAGGACGACAAGGTGAGGGAATAGTGTACGTATTACATGTTCCAGAAGTAGGAGTGCTCGGAGCAGAACCTTTGTCCAGCCATCGACAGCTGGGATGGTTCCATGCATACTATGAGCCATGCCAGGTGTCAAAGGGCCTGGTGTGCTGTGACAGGAGGGTGGGTGGTTTGCCGGTGGTGCAGGGCGGGGCGCGTTTGTCAGGGAAGTGGTCAAGGTTGGCCTGTGTATTGTACCCTCTGTTATGTCCGAGTCTCGGCAAGTCTTGGATACAACATGTGTCAGTGCTCCCTCAGCCTTCCCACTACCAGAACGGTCAGCAAGACCAATAACCTTTTTACGGAGCAGTTTATTCTTTTCAGAGGGATAAAATACCAACATAGACAAAACACTCAAAATAAACCCTTCCTTCACCAAACAAGAAGTAAATAAATGACGATAAAAATTTAATCTACCTCCTATAAAGCAAAAAGAGGAGGAAAGGTCTTCAAACACAAAGGGCAATCAAACTTGATAGCACTTGCTGTCAGCGGAGAGAGGCGTAGACATGAGACTGTTCAAATAGTTCCTTGACCAATCACGTAGCAGCAATCAGGTGAGGTTGAATGATCAACACCTGCTCCAAATTCACTCAACCGGGACAAACACGCAGAGACCATAAGAGAGGGGACACAATACATACAAGACAATACATTTCTGACCTGCCCAGTGGGTTCTATTTAACCTAAAAAAAAAAAAAATTAACTCTCGCACAAATAACTCAAACATATATTTGAGGAGTTATTAAGTCACAATTATACCTAAAATTATCGGTGTTAAAATGAGCATGTTTTGTTTTTTATTTTGGGATACATTATTTTAAATAAAAAAAAAAAATCTACTAGTGTAATCATTTGTGATGAGATATGTAGATAGCAAGGTGTGGAAATAGGTAAGTTTTTGTACTTCTTACTTCCTTTGAACATGTAATACATGTTAAACTATGACAACCATAGGTGATATTTTCTTTCTTCAAATTTTTACTTTTTTTCTTATAATGTGTTTATATGTTTAATAAATCAAATCAAAATCAATCATTCACCCAGAAAGACACTCTCACCCACCAAAAACACCCCTGTTACCCGCACCCCAAAAAAAACAAAAAAATCTTCTCTTACTCAAAAAAACTGTCGTGCACGCACACCCAAAAAAATTCTTAACCTCCTAGGACCTGGCGTCCACATGTGTGGACATGACGTTTTGGGTCGTCAAGACTACAATGTTAAATTTTGGACTACAAGGGCCTGGCGTCCACTTACGAGGAGGTTACATCATGTAAAAAGATAATTCTTTGTTTTTACACTCATCAGGTCCCAATTAGCCGAAATATCAAAGAGAAAATAAAAATAAAATAAAAATGCATGCCTTGCAAGAGTTCAGGTCTTAGGAGGTTAATGTAGTAAGTTGGCAATTTGAAAAATGTTGCAATCATTTTTCCATCTGGAGTTGAACAATGACGGGTTGATAAAAATCCTGTTGTCAATGTGTTTAACAGGTAAGAATGGGACAACATCAAAGCATTTATCTCTAAAAGAATCTGTAGGCATTCTTTAGTTGTGCAGGTCTACTTGCTACTATGGCCCATAGTCCACAACCAGGAAAAGAGAAAAAAATACGGCAATGTTCACATTTATGAAATAACACTCAACGAAATGAAGTGAACTGTAAATCCATCCATTTACCCTCACGTTTGTGCTCACTTGGGTCATTAGGAGTGTTGCTTTATGAGTTTTTGTGGATCGAGTGAGAGGGTTTTTTTTTTTTTTTGGTGAGCATGTCAGTTATATTTTTGTTGTTGTGAATTTGGATTTTTTTTCAGTGTGATGTTATTTTTGGTAAATGGGTGATTTTTTTGGTGGGGGGGGTATGCAACCATAAGGGCAGCACGGTGATCGACTGGTGAGCAAGTCTGCCTCACACTTCAGAAGTCTGTGGTTCGAATCCGGGCGCCAGCCTTCCTGTGTGAAGTTTGCATGTTTTCTCCATGCCTGTGTGGGTTTTCTCCATATACTCTGCTTTTCTACCAAATTTTCGACCAAATTCCCAAAACATGTATGGTAGGTTAATGGAACACTCCAAATTGTCCCTCGGTGTGATCGTGTGAATGGTTGTTTGTGTGCCCTTCGATTGGCTGGCAACCAGTTTAGGGTGGACCCCGCCTACTGTTCGAAGACAGCTGGAATAGGGTGCAGCATGCCCACGACCCTCGTGAGGATAAGTACAAGTCAAGTCAAGTCAAGTCAACTCAACTGTATTTAGTCAAGTACAACTTTATTGTCATAAGCAGCTCGGATAATGGACGGATGGCTATACCACCAATAGCACCACTGACATCCATGGTTAATATTTGGGAAAAAAAAAAAAACACTTTAATTAATACCTATGGTACTCAAACCCCTTCACATTGTTTCTTCATTTACCTACTGATGATGCAGCATCAACTGTGCAACTGGGGGTTTCATATGTTGTTCAAGGACACTTTGACGTACCTGTGGATTTACTGTATTCTCGCTTCAGATGTAGGAGCAGCTGCAGCTCTGACAAAGAAGACAAAGGTATTGACGTGGCTGAAAGCATGATGCTTGTTATCAGATCATGGGAGAATGATTAACAGAGAGTGGAATCTGGTGCATCAACATAAATTCACTTGCCTTTGTTTGAAAGGAAACCAGCTGTTGGATGTAAAGTACCTCACAAAAGTGACTCCACCTCTCACATTTCTGTTAATATTTTACTTTTATGTGGGAGAACACTGAAACAATGACACTTTACTCAAGGCAAATCAGCTTTATTATATATATTATATATATATTTTTTTAACTCGTTTAAAAATGCTCTAAAAGAGATCAGTTGTATGAATGGGAGAAATTTAAGCATAGTAACAGTTTGGCTTTAGCCAAAGGTAATTCGACTCAACTGCTCTGACAAATGCTCCGTCTTTCCTGTATATTGATTTCAATATCAGGGTTGCTCAACACAAAAGTGTTTACTGCACACTGAAGCACGACCGACCGAATAACTACCTTTCAAAACAATAGCTTGTTGTTTTTTGGTTTGTTTGTTTTAATTAAAAGAAGTTAAGCAGGACCAAGGTTCTACAGGACACATTGTCGAACAAAGTGTGGGTCCCCCAATGGCCCGCAGCCCTAAAAACTGCTGATCAACTTTGCCAGGACCTTTTGGTCTTTATTTAGTCCCTTAAATGAACAACTTGACCGTAAAGGACACAATTGGATGGAATTCGAAATCTGACTGACAGTTTCTACACAACAAAAAAGTTCTATCAACTTGCTGTCAGTCAGGGAACCGCCCTCAACAAAAATACAGTGTTCTCACGACAATCACTCTGCACATTCACACATCACTTTTATCTCGTAACTTTGTTGAGTCATAGCTGTAGCCTCCTCACACAGGCTGTGGATGAACGCACGCCCGCTGTCATAGGTGGGTCAGAGGGCATCGTGTACACCTACCAATTTGCGTGTGCCCACTTGAGTCAAAATTTCAAAAATAATTAACGTTTTATACATAAAATAACAAAACAATATCAAAATAATATAACAAAACACATTAAGACACGGAGAGTGATGCGATCGTAACCACTATGTCGGCATACGCTTTGTTGTTTGAAGCAGTTCTCGATACCAGTGGATCAGAGACGTCATGCTCAAAATGTGCACACGTTGGCTACAAGCTAAGTTAGAAAGTAAACATGAAGTTGTAGCGTCCACTGACGAAAAAAGAGTTATAAAAGAAAATGCCTGAACCTGGCAACATGGTGAATTATGTCGGCAAATTTTTGCCTAGCCTACCAGCCCTACAAAGCCCTTGTGTGATCCACTGAAAAATGACAGCCAGGCTAACACTGTTGCGGTTCAACTACATGATCATACATGTCCCAGGCAAAAAAAAACTGTTCCTGCTGATACTCTCTCAACAGCCCCTCAAAGAACTAGAAAATATCCAACAGTATCTTGCAGGACGAATGCAGTGCCTACAGCCCTACTCCAACCAGATTCTCCAACTTCTACCTGCCGCCAAAGGTAAGCTGGCACGCATCAGAGAAGTTCCGAATTCAGGCAACATATGTAATCAGCTGAAAACTCAAATGGAAAAAAGGCTGACCCCCTTCACAGGATATGAGTGGCTGAATACACCTTTAGCCATTCTGGCCAGAGAGGAATGACATCCATATGGCAAAGGGCCTTCTTCTGAAAGGTAGGAGGGTTGTTTTTCCTGGATGCGTGGCAGCGAAAAAAAAAATGGAGAGGCCACCTGAAAGGCATCAGGGTGTGAGCAAATGTGAAGCAAGAGCACAAGAATCATCGTGGTGCAATCAATAACAAGACAGATTAAGGAAATGGTGGAAAGATGTGAAATACAATGTACAGAGCCTTTGGTGACCGCGCCCTGACTGGCATGGCAAATCATCGCAGCTGATATCGCTGAGTGAAAAAATGGCCATTGTAACTCCTGTTAACGAAAAACCTCCCGCCGCTGACAAGATCTCAAACTGCGGAGCATTTGAAAGTGATCTTTGCAAAGTTTGCTCTACTCGAAATGTTGGTGACTGACAACGGGCCCCAGTTTTCGTCGACAGAGATTGCCAGTTTTGCACATGACAATGGGTCCTACCATAATAAGTCCAGGAGCCCTCACTGCCCCCCAGAGCGCCAGAGAAGCGCAAAGGGCTGACCGCAACACATTTAAACAACTGCTCAAATCAAGTCCAGACTTTCAGAATGCTCTCTTATCTTACAGAGTGACGCCATTGGCTCACTGAGTTCGTCACAAACACTAATGGGGAGGAGAATAAGAGCATCAAAATCAAGCACTTCAACCTGTCCGGCCAAACCTCTGAGCCTTCGGCGGAAAAGATATATTAAAAGAGAAACAGCGACACTCTTTCATTGGATCTACCAGTTCTAGTACCTGGACAGAGCGTGTGGATCAGAACAGTGCAGATCACAGCCTCAGTCGAAGGACCTGCTTCAACACCAAGGACCAAATTGTGGAAACGGGTCAAAGGTGCTTGATATGAAACTGGGCTCATCACACAAAGCTCCCTGAAACGGGACTTGCCTCGCTCCGGTAAGTCTCGGGTGAAACAGTGCCCATGTCGTGGAGAGTTTCCTGTCCTCCAGATCAACTGAATCTGTGAATAAAAACACATTGCACCTGAAAAAAAAAAAAAAACATGTGCCTAACATTTTGATGTTCCTCTAAGACGCAGGTGTCAAACTCAAGGCTCGGGGGGCCAGATGCGGCCCGCCATATCATTGTATGTGGCCCGCAAAAACTAATCATGTGTGTCAACGTGTATGAGCCTTGCTAAAATCTGAACCGGAATGTCAAATTGTCACGTGTAATAAATAGCACTGAGATTTTGCGATAATTTTGTTACCCTCTTCACACTCACTTGAACAATAATCAAATAAACTATGTACTCCAGTTGACTGTTTTCAAAACTAGTAATCCATGAATTTTATTCATTCATTCCATCAATGCATGAATTTGTTGTGTGGAAATAAAAATTCAATGAGACGATTCAACATTTTTGTGGTTTCACTGTCATCACGGCCCTCCGAGGGATGATGAAACTCCAAAGTGGCCCGCGACAAAAAGGAGTTCGA